GGACTAGTGACTGGTCTGACTCACTGGTCAGACTCACTGACCTGGCCTCACCTGCGGCCTCTCGAAGACCCATTTATAGATTTCCTAGAAAATGACTCTTTCTAATGGAGAAGTTTCCCTGGGAAATCCACACCTGTTCAGTGAGTCTGAAACCATACATGAGTAGGTGCTTCCAGAGGCAGTCCCCAAAGATGCTCACAGCTGCCCCCTTCCCACCCTGAATCTTTCAGAGGGCTGCAGACAAAGACTGCCCTCAAATGGGTCCATCATCTATGTGCTGCTTATGTGGACTAGCCCATGCTGATTTTATTTGGTCCTGGTTTGCCTGTCTAACCCCAAGGTCTTCATGCTCCCTTGTTCTGGAGACCAGATAGATTAATGTGTAGAAACAGATGGGAACTGAGAGATCAGCATTCAGCAGGGGCAGGTGGAGGGGTGTGTGGCTCATGAGTTGGATGAGTCGCTCGCTCCCTCCCGTCTTGGGCTCCTGGAGGGAGGTGGACAGAACAGCTGTGGGGAGAACGTGGCTTTGTGGGGCTGCTGGAGCCTATGTAAGTAAGCACAGGGCCGGGGCTATGCTGGTTGGGTTTGGGTTTCCTTAAGTCCTACAAGTGCTCGTGCAGCCAGTGGAGGGGGCGGAGTCTAGAGCAGGCGTTGCAGACTAGAAGTCTGTGGGCCAGGCTTGGCCTGCAGGTGTGTGTGGTGTGGTTCACGCGGTATTTTTTTTTCCATTTAAATTAGTTACCAGTGTTTTTAAAATAGAAAGACTCATCTTTAAATCTGGATTTCCAGCTTCTTGTGAAAAATGAGAATGTGTAAGAGCACTGGGCCTAGGCGGGAGTCAGGTGAAAGCAAGCAGCGGCTGCCTCCTCCTGCACACAGGGCTGCACCGTGCACGTGCGTGGGATGCTCCCAGGAACAGAGTCCTCAAGGGCGTCAGTGTCAGCAGGCGGTAGTCAGAAGGCCTCACACCGACCGAGAAAGGACCTCAGGACCTTGTGCAGAGCTCCTCGGCCTTGGAGCAAGAGGCCAGGCGTGGCTCAGGGCGGGGACCGTCTCTGAGGGCTGGCAAAAGGAGGCAACTGTTTGCCTCTCTTCTCCGCCTCAGGGCTGGGAGTGCTCCGTGTTCCTATCACCAGAAGCCAGTAGCCCTGCAGTCCAGGATCTCGCAGGCAGACATGCAAGTCTCTGCCTGCCCCCAGTTCCCAGGACACACGCTAACACAGCCCCAGCCATCCACAGCACCGCCTCAGCACTGTGGAACAAGAGTCGGGGCCTTTTCAAACAGCATCAAGCACATCTCAGGAAAGGGCCAGCATGTGCAGCAAAAATGCTCAACCCGGGATTTGGAGCGGGGAACTCAAACTTATCTCTAGCTGAGATACCACCAAGCCCGGCAGACATACGAGTGGGGGCTGAGGCTCAAATGGGTCCTATGACCTGAACCCAGAATGTGCCAAAGTGAGTATTCCACACTCCCTTCATTTTATCTTTGAAAGATGGGAGAACACAGGGAAAGTGAGGAGCATAAAAAAACTTGGTTTAGGGGTGTCTGGGTAGCTCAGTTGGCTAAGTGTCCAACTCTTGATTTCGGCTCAGGTCATGATTTCAGCGTCCAGAGATTGAGCCCCGTGTAAGTAAGGCTCTGCACTGGGTGTGAAGCCTAAGATTCTTTCTCCCTCTCCCTCTGCCTACACCCCACTGCACTCTTACACTTGCTCTCTCTCCCCAAATAAATAAGTAAAATCTTTAAAAAATACGTAACTTGAGGGATCTTGGGTGGCTCAGTCAGTTAAGCGTCTGCCTTCAGCTCAGGTCATATTCCCAGGGTCCTGGGATGGAGCCCCACGTTGGGCTCCCTGCTCAGCAGGGAATCTGCTTCTCCCTCTCCCTCTGCCCCTCCCCCTGCTTGTGCGCTCTCTCTCTCTCTCTCTCTCTCTCTCTCAAGTAAATAAATAAAATCTTTAAAAAAATAGTAACTTGGTTAAGTTCAGGAAGACATCTTTAAACCTGAGAGGTGACAAATAAGACCCACCACACTCCAAATTCTACCAAGCCACGACATCTACCTCTGTGGCACACACAAACCCCATGCCTGGAACCTCACCCATAACACACACAAAAAAGATTTAGAATAAACAAGAGATAAAAGGTATCTGAGCTTAAGACTTTCAAAAGTCTAATAACCAGTCTGTGGGCTGATGCTTAGGACAAGACAGCCTGCCCAGGTGGTGCTGGGAACCAACATCGGACTCCCTGGCACAGAGACGCTGACAAGGGGACAGAATCTGGAAGAGCCGCCAAGACAGGCGATCAGGTGGTACAGGCACCACATGCAGCCATGCTCTGACCCCTGATTATGTGGTTACCCAGCAGGCACTGCCTTCCTGAAACATCAACCTTCTGACATCTTCTGAAAGGTTTCCCTTCCATTTTCAAATCTTCTTGGTCTCTGTCTGGGGTTTTGTAACACTCTATCGCCTTCCTCGCTCATCCTCGCCTCAAAGCCACACCTTGTGCAGCCCTGGAAATACAATCTAGTGGGCTCTCCTATCACTCTTTGTGAAAACACTTTCCCACTGTTCGAGATCTTTCCATCAGGCTATTTTCTTTCCTGGTCTTCAAAAGAAAGATTCTGCTTGAAAAAATAAACTCAACTCCTACTGTGACTCAGATTTTCAGGGAATAGGATGAGCAAGAGAAATGCATGCAATTTAAAGAGAAAAATCAAATGGAGTCAAGAATGTGGTAACTTATTAATCAGAAATGAAAAGAAAGCATACTAAAGAGCAAACAGCTTCTGAGCTGTTAGAATAGTTTGTTTTTGTTTTTGTTTTTTAAGACATCTGCATAGAAATACTGACTTTAAAAAGAAGTTCTTGGGGCGCCTGGGTGACTCAGTCTTTAAAGGGTCTGCCTTCTGCTCAGGTCGTGATCCAGCGATCCTGGGATTGAGCCCTGCATCAGGCTCTCTGCTCCGCGGGAAGCCTGCTTTTCCCTCTCCCACTCCCCCTGCTTGTGTTCCCTCTCCCGCTGTGTCTCTCTCTGTCAAATAAATAAATAAAATCTTAAAAAAAAAAGTTCTTCAAATGCACTCAAAACTAAGAAATACCTGAGAACCAAAACATTTATCCTAAGACTAAAGGTCAAACTCAAAGCCTGTGTTCACTACCATTCTACCGAGAAACAATTTGAACGCTGGCCATGACAATAAAAAATGTTAGAGCTTTGGGAGAAAGACTGTAAGCAGTGATCTGATTGAACCATTCCTGTTAAGGGGCTGTCATTTTTAAAATAATTAGTGAGTGCCTATGTGCCAAGCACTACAGCAGGAGTTACAAAGCATAAACCAGGACTGAAGTTTATATGTCTGTTTCCCAAAATAACTGAAAATGAGAGAATGATTCAATGACATTAGATTGATCATCTTGATTTCACAAAATTTCTAATTAGCTTCTCGACAGATTCTGGAAAGACTGAATAAAAATCAACACCGATGTGGATAAAGGGGAACCCTCTTACACTGTTGGTGGGAATGCAAGCTGGTACAGCCACTCTGGAAAATAGTATGCAGGTTCCTTAAGATGTTAAGAATAGAGCTACCCTATGACCCAGCAATTGCACTACCAGGTATTTACCCCAAAGATACAGATGTAGTGAAAAGAAGGGGCACGTGCACCCCAATGTTCCTAACAGCAATGGCCACAAAAGCCAAACTGTGGAAGGAGCCGAGATGCCCTTCAACAGATGAATGGGTAAAGATGTGGCCCATATATACAATGGAATATTACTCAGCCACCAGAAAGGATGAATACCCACCGTTTGCATTGACATGGATGAACTGGAGGGGGTTATGTTAAGTGAAGTAAGTCAAGCAGAGAAAGACAATTATCATATGGTTTCACTCATATGTGGAACATAAGCAATAGCACGGAGGACCATAGGGGAAGGGAGGGATATCTCGAGAGGGAGATGAACCATGAGAGACTATGGACCCCGGGAAACAAACTGAGGGTTTCAGAGGGGAGGAGGTAACAGGGTGATGGGTACTGAGGAGAGCACGTGCTGTGATGAGCACTGGGTGTTATACTTAACTAATGAATCATTGATCACTACATCAAAAACTAATTATGTACTATACAGTGGCTAACTGAACATAAATAAATAAAAAATTCAACACCCCTTCCTAAAAGTGCAGCTCATCATTTACAATAGGGTAAAAACTGTTCAAGAGTAGAAGAATGATTATCATACTTTGCACTAAAAAAAAAAAAGCCTCTAGGTGATAGTAAAGAAAACTATACAGCAAGATTTAAAAATGGAAAGAACTTCACTCTGATGGGAAGCATAACAAAATCAGAGGACTAAATTGTATCTGTGGTGTGAACAGAGCTTTGTAAATTATATGCACACCTGACAACAACGAGGACCAAAAGGAACAAGGCACTGAAGAGATTTATTTGAATAGTATGAGAGCAGCTAAATTTTTCATTTGACAACGATTACATTAAGATATTCTTTATTGGGAAAAAAGATATTCTTTAGGAATTAAGTTCTATCAAAGACTACACAGAGTGCGAGGGCAAGAATGAATGGGAAAGAGGCACGAAAGAAGCTAACTGACTTTCTAAAACCCCAGACGCCACCGGCCGTGACGCTGTGGCTCGAGAGGAGAAGGGTGACTTTGCCGGGTGGAGTGCCCCTGAACCTGAACCGGGGAGAAAGTGCCACCTGGGAATCTGTCTAACTTGCCCAACAGGTTATTCCTCTCAGGCCAGTCCTTCCGGCCCTCTCCTCCCTGCAACTCTTAGTTTGGGCTGGTTTCACCTGCTGTATAAACACCACACACGGAGCAGCCCAGCCCACCTCCAGGCAGGATGGGGAAGTAAGCAGTGAGCACGGTGACCTGGACACAGAAAGTGACTTTAACACATGAGCTGCTTTCGACCCCGAGGGCCGTCGGGCGCGCGCACACGTGTGCCACCCCGTCCCCCCCTTACCTGTTGAAGCATCTCTTCAGCGGCATTGAGTTTCACCTGGTGTCCTTCCAGACACACTTCCAGGTCCCGAATCTTCTCTCCCTGGGCTTCCACTTGGTCTGTGAGGACACTCACCTGTCCCAAGAAATAAAGCAATGGTGGAGGCGCAGAGATGACTCCCTTGGAGCCGTGAAACCACGCTGCCGAGCCTTACATAAAGATGGCTTTCCTTTCTGGCAGGTGGCGGGGGCGGAGCGGGGGGGGGGGGCGGGGAGGCGGGGAGCGAGGGTCCCGGATGAAGAAAACTCCAGCTGCCCTCTTACCTCGCCCCTGCCTAACTGACCTTGCCGCGTTTCCCGCTCTTGACGCACTGGAGGGAGAAACCCGCAGCGGGCACGAGCGCTGCCTCCGGGCTGGGCCCTGCTCCCGAGTCCTCTCCCAGAGCTCACTCGCAGTCTGGACCTCCAGGCATAGCTCGGCTGGCCTGCCAGGGCTCCCGCCACCTCACCTCGTGTGCAACAGCAATCCCAACTCCTCGGGAGACTAACCAATGACCTTACCTCTCTCATTGGGGTGTGATGACTGCTCACCTATCAGGCGAGGCTTCTGAAGCAATTAAGGAATGTGGGATGTAAAGGGCATGTATTGGCACTGACAAAACTTGGCTCCGGGAAGGTGTTTGTGCCTCACAGGCCAAAACATGACTCTAAGTCATAACACACACCAGCCACCCGCACATGCAGTGGCAGGAAAGCCCTCTACCTAAAAAAAAAATCACCGAGAGATCTGTTGGAATTAAAAAAAATCCATTTATAGCAAGTCATTTAAGTTATGCCCTTAATACATACTGAGAGGATTTTCATAGCCTGCTCTTGTAGCAAACTGCCCCCCGGATCCTCCTTTTTATTAAAAAGGCGCCTTAGAGCAGGAAGATGAAGAAAGAGAACGGGTGGCCTCTCCAAATAGAGAAATCAATGACTGCTAAATTGAGATCCTTTAGACACTTTGGGTTCTTAATCAATGGTGGAGTCGTGGCCATTTACATATAGATTATCTTAAGTGATTTCTCAGTCTGTAAAGGAATGATAGCTGGAGCATGAAGGAGTTAGTGTGAATTCACTTCTGAGTGTTTAAATAGACTATTAATCATGAAGCTCCCTTTACAGAGGAAAAAGTCTAAATTAATACCGCTACTTTCAGCTTTTCATTTTTATATTCCCACATGATTAAAGAATGACTGGAACATATTCCTGGAGTTGGTACGTAGTGTGCTAATATTCCACTTACAGTCCCCAAAACAGGCGCCTTCTGTCAATTAGGCCCATCTCAAACACAAACCTTTGTGGTGGTGTTTTCAATCCTCATGATCCAACATTATCAGCAGTCCTGGCCTTTTATAGCTACCAACCCTAGCTTCAAAAGGGTAGAATTCTAGGGGGTGGCCTTTCAAAGCTCCCTGGGTTCCAGAGTTTCTCTTTGGGAACGATGTGTGATGGTTAATCTGATTATGAGGATTAGCACTCATTGTCTGCACCACGCCTCAGAGTCATGCGCTGGAGGTACCCAGAGGAATAATCTGTGGTCTCTTGCACTCCATAGTCTGTAGCTCAGCTGTGCACAAGACTCAGGATACACAGGGCTACAGCATCCTTACAAACTTGAATACTCACTAGAAGGACCATGGAGAGGCCCAGAGTATCGGGACAAATGTATAAAGATCCTAGAATGTGACCTTTATTCAATAAAAACAAATACTTTTTGAGTGCCCACTACATTCTAGGCATAATTTTAGGCATTAGAGGGAATATAGAAGTGGTAAAAAGGAGGAGGTGAAAAGCCTTACCTTAAAAAATACATTCCCATGAAGATAGAAAAGATTTTGGTTTAAGTATACATGCTGCCAAAGCAAGCACAGAAGATTTAGGGTTTATTTTTAACTTACTCTGAAAACAAAGTATTTTGTCATGTGTGATTTGCCTTGCTCCCCTACAAGTAGACCCAGGAAAACATTCTGGGCCAAGTGCTTCAATTAATTCACTCTGGCTGAGCTGCCTTGTAAGTTAAGGAAGAGGCTCTACCACAGTGAGGGCTAACTAGTTCCATGGGGCCACCACAGATCAGAGTGATCACCCAAGAGCAGCTCTGAAAGTCTGTTCACAAGCTCCTAGAATAGATACCACCAGGATCTACTTCTGACTTCTGTGATAAGTAGCTTCCCAACTGTGTCAGGATTATTGCAATAAGGATTATTCAAGACTCAGAAATTAAAAAAAAAAAAAAACACGAAACTGTTAATGTCAAAGAGAACATTATCACATAGGACTTCCTTATTAAATTCCTTTAAACAGGAAAGTGTTAGTTCTGCCATGAAGGTTCCTGGTTCAAAAGTCTGCGAGATCACCCTGTTTGCTGCAAAATTTTAAATTGGACACTCTGATTAATCATGTCGTTAGGATAGACTTTCAAATTACTCATTCCTCCAAATATGTGCGATATTATGTGCTATATAACCCGGCCCCTCCTACCTCTCTGAAGGCAGTTCCCCACCAGACTTCTTCACAGTCATAAACTCCAGCCACACAGACCCTTGCTTGCTTCCTCCTATACACCAAGCACACTCCTTGCTAGGGTGTGTGCTGGACTGACTACCTCCTCTGTCTGGAATGTGCTTCTCCAGGCATCCGTGGGGCTCCCTCCCTAGCTTCCTTCAGGACTCCCCCTCTCAGGGAGGTCTTCTCTGACTACGTAATCCTTACCTTGCTTTATTTTTCTCCACAGTATTTATCACTGCCAGAAACATTTTATGTACTGATTTATTGTACACACATGTACACATGTACACAGACAGACAGACACACATACACACACACACAAGCCCTATTAAGAACAGGGAGTTCGTTTATTTTCATCACCGCTGCAACCCTAGCACCTAAAACCAGTGTCTGCCAAGTTGTGGGCACTCAATCTTTTTTAATGAACAAACTAATAGAGAAAAAAATCCCTGAAGATGCAAAATTATATAACTGTATATTTGGTCTGAGCTTAAATTTTAAAAACAGGGGCAGGACAGGGAAAAAAAAAAAGTCTAGGAAGAAAGGTCAAAATGTTAAACTCTTTTTGACTTTCCAAAGTTCCTGAAATAATCACTTACTACTCTTAGATTTGTAAAAAAGGTAAAATAGAAGAAAAAAGCCAAACATATGGCAGCCTCTTCATTCCAGGGCTCTAAGCTAAAGCCCACAGTCTGCAGAGGGCTGCAGAACCCTACCTGCCCCCTCTTCTGTTTCACTACCAGTCTGGTCTACCACCCTTCAAAAGCTTTTTAATGAGCCAGGATTGGAATAGTCATCTTCTCATTCTCCAAATCAACAATCACAGTGTCTGATACATACCAGACAGCAAACAAATGCTTGATGTATGCACCTGAGAGCTAACACAGCAAAGAACCCCTATCACAGTGACACGCCTCACGTAAAAAGGCTCAACACTATGTCCTGCCAAGGAACATGAGTTTTCAGAACAGAAAATGTTCCTTTGACTATCTTTCTCCATAAAAAGTTTTGGAGTTTCTCTCTTTGAGGAGAGAGAGTCATTCAAGACTCATTAGTCCCTATTACCAGCTCCAGGGGATTTGGCCTCAAAGGGATCAGTCTAGATCCAGCTCCAGATGATTTGGGCCTGATCCAGTTAGAATCCACCCTATGTCCATATCACTCATGGCTGTTTTATTCGAGACAGGAAGACACGTCTTATCTCCCTTCCACGGCTTCTGGGCTCCTAGAGGACAGGGCCTCATTCATCAGCCTGGCCACAGAGCTTCCAGTGTAGAGAAGTGGGTACTCAGCAGTACAAGATGAATAAATGAATGCATTCACGGCCCCAAGGCCAAGTCCATTTAAACTGTGGCTTCCGTTCCTTTCTGCTTTGTTTCAGGAACTGAGTCTTTTTAAAAACACACACTTTTGGAACAAAATAAATCCAACAGAGAAAACCTCTTGTGCCTCCCTCCCACTTAGGGTACCTACAGAGTTGGAGGTAACAGGATAAGCTCTTTCCCATGAAAGTGGACCCACCTGTAAAATGAGGGACTCCTTATCTCCTTCTAGACGTGCCAAGCGTTCCTGGTACGTTTCATTACTAGCAGCACCTTGGTGATTTACCTGAGACTGAAAGGGGGGGAAAAAGTATACACTTAAAAGGTTGGAAAAACATCTTACCAACTTCCAAATGAAGTATGCAATTTGTGAGGACAGTTTCGCTGGTTGCATGTGCAAAACCACCCACCTAAACAGGAAACCACAGGATTTCAAAACTACCAGGAGGAGGACCACTGATAGCTGTGCCTTGAAAGCTGGCCTTGAAAGGTGGCCAAACCACCCCCTGGATGACCTCACCCTTGGCCGGGAAGGCCTCAGTGGAACTCCAGACCCAGTGGTGCTTGGCTTGACTGGGCATGTCGGGTCTGGTGCAGGTGGAGGCACAGCCTGCCAGAGGCACCAACGGCAAGGAGGCCACTCTTTGAGGAGGCCAGGGAGCTGGTACCAGTCACCAAGGAACTATGTGGGAACGAGTCCCGCACAGACCCTGGTCTCTCCTAACTCACGTGAGGGTTCTCCAGAGCCAGGGTACTCCTTACAGCACGGAGGCCCATCTTGAGCGCCACAGGGAGCACGGAGGATGGGGGACACCAGCCACAAGGCCCTTCATCCACTCACACACCCCTTCCAGGGGTGGCCAGTCCCTCCCCTCCACTAGGGCTCCAGCCTAATGCCAGCCAGGCTGGCATCCTGCGTGCTTGCTTCTCTCAGCTCTAACACTGCAGGAAAAGGTGAAACACCCTGAGAAGACCCCATGTGACAGTCAGAGGGTCCTCAAAGAGCTAACAGGAAACAAAATATCCAGAAAGTGGAAAACAGCAGAGGGAGAAGATGTGAATTGGCAGATGGGAGGCAAAATTTATAAAATGCCTTGAGCAAGAGACAGGAGGCTGCAGGCACTTTTCGGGTGTGCCTGACCTGGTTGTAGGCAGGGAGGAGGGAGAGAGGTGGCTGCTAATGGGACTGAATTGGCCCAATGCCATCAACACTCCCTTCCTCCAGGCTTAATGGAAGGCCGAAACCCAGAGGCCCAGAGTAGGCCATTCAGGGGTTTGGCAGCCTGAAAAAGCAGATCTTATTGCTAAATGGGTAAGTGACAATCATCATAATCTGGGCTGGTCCAAAGGAGTAAATGCTCTGAGGTTTATGAGGCAGTATCCTCCGTTCCACAGGTAAGTCATAGTTGTGCAAAGGAGTGGGTCAGAGAGGAACCCAGGCACAGAGGCCCGGAGGTGGCTCCCTTCTCCTGAGCCCGTTTCCCCAAGTTCTGACCTTCAGGATGGGCTCGCCAACCCCCTCTCCATGAAGAAGGGGCACCTCCTTCCTTCCCTTGTCCTACCCCTTCCCCAGTGCACACCAGGTAAGGGTAGGGCACAGAGTCAGACTCAGTCCTGGAACAGACACAGGGACCAAGAAACAGGGACAGCATTCAAGGCCTGGAGTGTCACCTGTGAGAGAAGCACCTGCTGTTGAAGGTGCAGGGAGAGGCCAGCCCGGGGACCGGTTCCCAGGGAGGCTGTACCAGGCCTAGGCTCTAGGCTCACCAGGCCACAGTGCCACACCACTGCCCTTGGCTCCAGCCACTCTCTAGTCTGCATCTTGTTCATTGTGCAAGCTCTTTCATACCCTAGACAAAGGGCCTTCACAATCACAAATACCTTCTTTGCGGGGATGGCAGTTTATTGTTGTGACATTAATTCTGCTCCTCACATGGTCAAACTCCGACAAGTACGCAAGGATATAATTACCACCCATGTTTTCTCAGACCCTCAAAAGAGAGGAAAATAACTGTTAACAGCAGGTCAAGTGCTTCTCTGTGGAGTAACTCACACGGGGGTGAGGAAAGGACCCAGGCCCCCACGGAAAGCTGTGCGTGTCCGGCCCCAGGACCACAGTCAGCATGTGTAAGGGGCCGCCCAGCACTGCCAGCTGCCACTTCTCCTCAAGAAGTCAAGGAGAGAAGACCAAAAGGGAAGACTCCCTCCTCAAGACTCCAGCAAGCCACCACACCCCTGTGCCTCAGGCAAAAAGGGAGGCCAGTACGTTCCTCATGTTACAGGTCTGCCCATACAATCACCCAGAGAAACAGCTATTTTTACGAACTGACCCAAAACCGAGTTGATGTCCTAAGATCAGTTAATACACAAAATGCATGCCATAGAGTCTGTAACAGATGCTAGACCGTAGTAAACAAAAAAAAAAAAAAACAAACAAAAAAATCTGGATCCACTCTAGCAGTCAGTGGAAAAAGCAAAGCACAGTGAATTACAAGATGCCCAGATCAGTATGGTGAATAAAGTCAAACTGACTGCCTAGGAGAAACATAATTCTTCCCACAAAAGAAGAGACTTCAGAGTTCACAGAGAGACTCTATGCAATGGGGTAAACATCCAACGCCCATGATGCTATCCTCACAGGAAACAGAGCCCAGCAGAACTCACTGCTTTCTTGGGATGCCTTCTAAATAGGTCAAAGGTTAATGGATCACATGGGCCAAAAGCAAAAGAAATTCAATGGAGACCAACCCACTGTGGCCCAAGCAAAGTCCTGCAGATAGACAGCAAGCATTTATATAGTGCTTGCCATTGCCAGGTACTGTTTAGAGCACTGTGCATGCCTTAACTCTTTTAATACTTCCCATCATCCTGTGACAGGAGTACTATTTTGATTCCATTTTGCAGATAAAGGAACTGAGGCACAAAGTGTACGAACAAGGAATAAAATGGATATTTTGCCTAAGTGACTATGAGGTAAATTAGTAAGTTTTCTGTTACAGCTTAATTGAGGAGATCAAGTACAAATTTTGTTTTACATATTGGGATCGTATGAAAATTCACTTAAAATAAGGTTTGAAAACACTGTCTGAACCTAAATGCCCGTTAATAAAGGAGTGGCTAAATAAACTATGCTTCATCCACATTATGGACAATTTGTGGCATTTCCATAACATGAAGTTGGTATTTATGAACTGTCACAAAAATATAAGACATATTGGATAGTGAAAATAGCAAGATCCAAAGAATCATACAGAGTGACATTAGAAAACAATACTATGGGACTCCGTGACTATATGACATATGTGTGAAAATAAACTGACCCAGTGTCTATAGAAGGCTACACAACAACCCGTAACAGTGCTCTTTTCTGGGGAAGCGTCTGGGCTACGGAAAGCTGGGGGTGGGAGGTTCGGTCAAGGTGGGCTTTTATTTCATCCATAACCATTTTTGTAAGAAGCTCAAATATTTTCTTGAAGAAATAAAAAACATTTTAAAATCTAGAAGCACTGTTTGAGTACCTACAATGATGCTTCCTGGTACTTCCTCCTGCCCATAGCAGCCTTGAGGGACACACCCTCTCCCAGCAGGCACGCTGGTCCATAGGACGGTGTGCTCCTGGCAGAAAGGCACCTCCCCTGCCCCAAATCACTGTTTGAGAGTAACAGAGCACCTTCCCCCGTTCAGTCTACCAAAATCACCATTGTTCTCTAGCAAGCTTTCGAGAAGTATTAAATAGCAGTGAAATGGAGACAATGTCCCGAACACAATCTGCAGTACCGCCATCCTATGCTTTTCCTGACACACTGAGCCAGGTCTTCGCAATCTAGATCAGATTGATACCTTCAAAACTGCAGTCCCTTAGAAAGGCATAGACCAGGATAAAACACCATCTCCACTGAGCACAGAGCCAAGGAGAGGATTATTTTAGAATTATCTTATTGAATGCCAATACTCAATAGCCAAAGGTGACGATTTCAATAGGGCAGAAAAGGCATGTGGTTATGAAAATGTCATTCCAACTACTCAGAAACATGTTTTAAAAAGAGTTGAGACCCAGGTCGGTTTTGTCCTACTTTAAAAAAAGAGCTTGTTTGTCCAAGGGTATACTGCTTTCCCTAATTCTAACAGTGAAATTGCAATAGAAGGCTCAGATCAATTTGGAGATTGTCCGTCGGGATCCCCAAGTGACTCAGGTTTGAGAGTCTCTGAAATTCTTGCCCAGGAGGTAAATCAGTGATAGAGTAGCTGCCCAGCTCTCCACGCATAAGGTCAGACTGACAGACCCCAGCTGGCATTCTACCGAGGGAAGAGAGTCAAGTCAAATTCTGAAGGGTGCTACATGCTGAATTTTTATTCCTCCACACTCTAGCATGGCAGGTGAATTTAAATAAAGTTCTACCCTGTTCTACTGTTTCAAAGATGCTCATCCCACTGATGAGTAAAAATGACCTCTTTCTTATTTATATTCAACTAATGAGGTTAGCCCCAAGGCTAGACCTGTCAAAATAGATTACTGATGTACTAGGTGGGATATGCATCTATCTAATGTTTAACTCTTCTGTTTTGATGGTTAGTTCTACAGATGTGACAGAAGAAAAATGGATCTTCTCATTCAAATTTTCTATGGTCAAAGCTGTTCCTCAATCTATAACCAAGGTCAGTTACCTGATATATTGTGTGGGACCAGGAGATACTGTGTGGAACCAAGGGATCTGTATGCCCTATGGAGGTAGAATGGCAACTACAGATGGACATTTCCATGTCCTCTTGCATCTTGACCGAAAAATGCCACAGTGGAACATGCTTCCTCTCTCATATCACAGAACTGAATACATCGGGAGGTCTTCTTCTATGTATGTTGTCAATAACTGGGAAACTTCAGCCAAGATTATTAAAGCCAAACCACCTTTGCCTTTATGAAAGCTGTGCTCTCAAGAATCCGGGCAATCCATGCTCTAAAACCCAGAACTCTCCAAGGCAAGTAGAAGACACAATCCATAATGGTCAGATCAAGGTCTTCCTGAGGCCTCAACAGTGATGTTTTTGAGAGTCCTCAGGAACAGAGAAAACACAGCACCTTGACTCTTGCAAGGTTATGGACTTCTAGAAGACCCCAAATGCTACTGCTGCTGGGGCTGGGTAAGTCTAATATATAGCTCCAGCAACTGACAGTCTAAGGTGGGGCTATTTTCTAAGCCATTCTTAGGTGGAAAAGAGAGGCTTTAGGATGATGTAGCAGCCATACAGGCTGTTCTATTGTTGGGGTCATGGAGTTGGTCATGAGAGTTAATC